CTCCACACTTTCCTTCTCTTTCACTTTGCAGGCTTATTTCTACTGGAAGTTATTTTTCAGAAGGGCACTCCCAAAAATCCCAGGCACAAGAAGTATCTGTGGTTTCTCACTGCGCACTGCTAAACTCTCCTTCCCAAACCCGGAAAGCGAGACCCTCCTCCTGCACTGCAAATAAGGGTTGCATGGGCTGCTTCTTACAAAGAGGATTTTTCAATATAGGGACGTTTGAAATATTGTTATTTTACATGTTTTTCTCATAGGCATGTGTTCAAGCTACTCAGCAGCTTTGTCCTACTTTGAGTGACTGATTATGACCGAGACCAGTTTGGGGTATTTTCTGCCTGCTTTCCTGCTGGATGGTCTGTGCCTCCTGGCCATGGTTTAACTTCCCTTGCTGCTAAGTTTCAGCAGGTCATGAGTTCGGTATTTTGGAGAGGAATACTCCCTGCTGACGCATCTGTAAGTTCTCTGGTTTCTCCCCCAAAAAAGGTCCTCCCCTCACATCTTAAAGAAAAGCACACGAAGCCGTGGCTCCTGAGTACTCAAATTCCATTCCCACACTTGTGCAGAAGCAGAGACCATGTCTGCCAAGGCTGAGGTCAAGCATGTTATTCCTGTCAGCTCCTTCAAACAGAGTTAAAAGAAACACTGAACCTTGCTTCCAAAGGCATGCAAAGCATATGCATTTCTAGGGTCTTACAGTTCAGAATTAGACTCAGAGAAGCTCCTCTGACCAGTGCTGTCTGAAGACAGATTGCAATTCTAGTTAAACAGAAATAATACAAGAAGGACCATGCTTTCCATGCCAGTCTACAAATTGTCTCACCGATTATAAAGGTTAAAATCACAGGATCTGGCCTCCTAGTCCTTGTAAGCTGCTCAGGCTATCCATTAGGGTTGCTAGACTTCCTGCTGTGAGGTCTTTCCCTCCCCCCAGGGGCAAAACGTAGTAGCTATCATTTAGTAGTAGACATCATTTTAACCTTTGCTATGTACTTGCTTCAGATCAGCTCTTTGGAAGTTCAGCCAAAAAAGTTTAGATTTTTTTTTCATCCACTTAGTATTTCTGCAGTCATTTCCCCAAAGGCAGTTAGTTTGGTGTAAAAAAAAAATAATTTTTAGTCCTTTCATAAGCGAAAAAACTTGCATCCTCGGAACAGGGCGAGACTTTTGTCAAGCACCAAGTATTTGATACTTTATCCTTGTTCCGTCTTTAGCGGAAGAGGAAGCTGACACTATTCCCTTCCTCTGCACAGCAGACACGGAACGCACAGCACAAACACACTTGTCATAGCATTCCTCCCTTCTGATAACTCGAGGTGAGAACAGGAGAGCTGCTGCTGAAGTCAATGAAACGGCGAGGCTGCTGCGGTGCCGCTCCTCGCAGGCACAGGACCTGCTCGCAGCTACTCGACTGCAGCCGACAAACTGCCTGTCGGCCCATGGAAGTTAAGAGAATTTTCTTTTTTGCACAAAAGACGCGCAGTGTTGTAAAGGTGACTCGAAACACTGTAATTTTTCACACAGACTGAATTAACTAGCAAGCAAAGCACAAAACTGTCAGTTTTCTAGCTATTTTTTGTTTTCTTCCAAGTCTGTAAATGAAAATCTTTCCAATTCCCCCTTCCCCCCAACATTATAGATGAATACACAGAAGGGTTGAGATAACGTTTTAGGCTGTTTAAATACCATGTTTGTGTACGGCTTGTGGAGTGCTGTGGCCTTTAACAAATGTAATTCAGAGAGATTTGTTTGCATGGGAATTCAAGCAACTGCGGAAGGGTCTTCCCTTTCTGTCAGTATTAGTTTCTAAGCAGCACAGAAATAAGATTAGGGACTTTGTTTTGCCCTTCTCCAGGGACTGAAGTTAGCAGATTCCTTGGCAACTTCAAGTGAAGATTTTCAGCAGTAAGTTGACAAAGCCGCAAGCAAAAAACTGCAAGGAGAAATCACTCGGTCCCAAGGGCAAAGGCGGCCACATCAGCTGCAACATCCTGTGCTCGTATAGCAATACTTCTGTCAGCGAAGCCCATCATCTTACAGGTTTTCTTTTTCATTTTGAAGAGGATACTTATATAAGTCAGTTGCTGTTCATTACAATCTTAAGCTATGTTTTCTATTCAAAACCTCACACCAGCTTTATATGAAAATACATATCTGCTCTTACGGTTCAGCTAAGTTCTTGACAGGAATCTTAGTGGAAGGAATTGAAAGTATTAAACTATTCTTTCAAAAGGGTATACATAAGAAAACAGGAACTATTAGAGAGCTGGTGAAATATGCAGTGTTTCAGGACAAGAACTTTTTTTTGTTTTTTCCCCACTTTTTCAGTAAAGGAGTCTCTTGGGAATTTGGTACAAGGATTGGTGTCAGTAGTAAGAAGAGACTAGATGTTTTAGCTTACCTTTTGTTGGCAGTGAAGTGCAGTTTTGGAACAAAAGTTAAAAAATAGATAAAAATAACGGAATAAAATTAATTGTAGTAATATATGAATAAAAATTAAGCTTGTGTATATGGGCCTCTCCTCACCATATTGGATAAGCATTTTAAGTAACTTTTGAATGTGAAGTTAGAGTATTATATTCCTCACCTCTCACCAGTGATCCATCTATTTTGGCTGTTCTTTCACAACCATGTTTTGGGCTTACTCGTGAACTTGATTCAATTGCATATTTTTGCTATGGGAATTAAAAACACAGACAGAGAAGCAACTGCACTGGGATGGTTTATTGATGCTTTCAAGAGATTCAGTCTTCCTGAGGAAGCTAATGAAACAGAATTTCTAATTCCAGAATTTTTACCTGATCTTTCTTCCAAAGAACAGATCTGTCTCTGCATAAGGCTCTGTTTTTCAGCCAAAGTAGTTTCGTAAGCTTCAGCTTCAAGCTGCACGGAAAGATTTGCCTCACTGCATTAAGTCCAGTTATTCTGGGTAAGTTTCACTGTCTCAACCCAAAATTTGGTTCATGTGACTCAGCTCATAACTTTAATTGTTGTAGAAGTCTCAAGTCCTCACTCGGCATTGACAGCATGGGTCCCAAAGACTTGTCCAACATGAATGCAATTGTTTTTGTATTTTAGGAGGAAACTACTTTTTTTAAAGTGCTCTGGTAGTAGAAAAAAAAAAGAAAAAACAAGCCATGTAAACAGTATAAATAGCATGGATCATTGCTATCGGCTTTGTCTTCCTTGAAGGCAGAGGAGAACTGAAAAGGAGTGGTTCTGCTCAGAGACCTTCCTCAGGGTTTGTCACTCTTCATCGTTTAAGAACAGAGCTCAGACGGTATTGCTCTTCCAGCTTTTCAACAAAAAAGCTTCTAGTTTCCTCATGTCTCTTTTCTTAATTATGTCAGTCAGTCTCTACAGATCAATGCCCTGTACAAGTTTATCTTGGAGGGACAGACAAGAGGTAGATCACTCAGAGAACACAGCTGAAAGAAAGCAGACTAGACAATATGATTGCAATGTTTCTCTGCAGCAGTAAGTTCTCGTACCAAAGTTAGCCCGTTAAGTTTAATAGGTAAGGAAAAACAGTGGGTATTTAGTCACACACCATTTTATGAGAGGAACAATTGATATGGCAGCAAGAAAAACACACTTTAGACAAACTGATATTACATCACATTAGTGGGCCACAGAACTCTTCAAAAAAATAAACCTTTTGAGACATGAGAGTGAAATCACGTTTTCGCATGCTTTAAACAGCTGAACTGCTCTTCGAAGTGTAAGTTTTCAGCTATTGGCAAAGACAATGATATCTCCCCATCTAGAAATTAAAAAGCATTTAGCAATAAGTTAAAGCTAGCCTACGTGTAAGTGGGCTAAATACTAGGCAAAGATATTTCTCTTTTCACATTTAAGATGATACTGCAGTTCATCACTTCTGTAGCTTATGTGTTGTGCAATGCCCCCTGGAAGTTTCACATCTACTTTGCAAAAGAGAACAAGAGTAAACACCTTTCTTTTAGGATGGTCACAAATGGTGAAAGCCAGTAGTATTTGTCTGTCTGTTTAATTAGATGTTTGCTGTCTATCACACACAAGAACTGTAAGCAGAGTCCATGGATTCTTCTGAGCAATACGAAACCTCATGGTTCCATGCAAGTTCAATACTGCCTCTCTCTCTCTCTCCTTCTTTCCACCTCCTCCTCTTTCTGCTGTTTTCCCCAGCCCAAGATACATTTCCAACTATCTTCATCCGATTAAAAACCTTAAGGGAGAGAAAGTTTTACCTCATGACTTCTACCCCAGAGAGCCTGGCTCCAGGCTTGTATCAGGTCAGGTACATCTCAGACCACAGGAAGCTGGATGTTTTTCTTTTGAGGCACTAGAAGTTAGGCTAATAGTAATAGTCAGGTTGCCCAAAGCTAAAGGGACAAGTAGCTCTCATTGCCTTCCTATTTAAACACATGGGCAGTCAAGAAATCTTCTTTTCCCTTTTTTCCCTGAAATACATGAAGTACAGCTCGCAGTAACAGATTCCCCACAGTCTTGCATTCCTACACCTGTAGTCCCAATGTACACTGTCCCATCTTACTTTCTAGTTTCCTCAGCCTCACAAGAGAAAGTAACAGTGGATCTCTCCACATTCAGATACACACACATCCTTTTTTGTCCCATAAAAATTATCATGTTTATATTTCTTCTTCCACATTCCCAAGCTAAGCCAAGCTCAGTTTTATGACAACGTTTTCATGTACCTCTCTTCGTAGAGAGCTGCTGCAGCTGAACAAGACAATTGCAGCGTGCTAGTTGTACTCGGATTCAATATGCGGTTGAAAAGAGGAGAATGACCAGTTTTCTCATTCGTCTACTTTCAGACCTTTAGAAAACCCCACTGTCAGCATCTTGAGTAAAAAATAGGTGACATCTTCAGACCCTATCAAAACCACTTATGTATGCTAACTTGTTTAAATAAACACCCCCACCTCAAGTGACAGTGGCCTGCAGTCTTCCTTGATCCATCCACAGAGCAAGAGTCATTTTTACTGAGTCAGTAATCATGCATTGTCTTCCAGAGGAAACACTAGCCGGGTACCCCTGCTTGTGACTTCATGATCTGCTGCTCCCAAATCACGTTCCAGTGCTTCCTCTGAACTACTTTTTGTTCTCCTGCCATCAAGGCTAGTGGTAGCTGTATGGGGGCCAGAAGAACCATTTGCAGTTATTGTTGTGTCACCATATGTCACAGTAAGGTCACCATCATTCAGAATAAAATCAGAATCCTCTTCTCTAAGCTGTTCTTGATTCTGGAAGAAAAACAAAATCTTTGTACAGCACATAACATAGTCTTTTCCAAGAAGTTAACTGAACAGAAGAGTTTACCTACATGTCAATACAGAATAGGTAAGTGGTAAAGTTCCACCTTAAGAAATGTGAAAAATGACCTTGAACCCAGTGTTTGCAAATCAGCTTACTGCTCCCTGTATAACTACCACTATTGTGGAGGGATGAGGGGGAGCTGAATCCAAGAACTAGGTTATGAAACAGGTAACTAGGGATTTAATAGCACTGGAAGTTTACCAGAAGTACAGGAGAGATGAGCAGTATACACTGGTTTTTGTGTGACCATTTAGAAGGCAGTCCAGGAAAAAGACTGAAGATCAAGCACAATTAAGCCACTCCAGATACAAAGTCAGTTGCATCTGTCGCTAATTAGTCAAGTTTGTTAGTAAAAGACACATGCAAACTGGTAAGAACTCATTAAGCCCAAACTCGTTATATTCAAAGTTTCCTCAACAGATCTTTGTTATACATTGAAAGCTAACCACACTCTTTTAAACTACCTGCTTACTCTTAACTGCTACTAAATAGGGAATTACTTGGCCTAGTTCTTAGGAATGCTCCCGAGCCATTAAAGTACAAGAGACTGATACAAGAAAGTGCTTGCTTCATACTTTTGTAACTAGCTCCGATGTGTTTTCTTTTCAAAATCATTTAAGAAATTGGCTCACAAAACCCTGTGAGTTTATTTTGGCAGAGATGGGCTGAATATTATCGTCAGAGATTAGAAATTGTTGAAGTGTAACAAAACACTTAATTTCTCTACACAGCATAATACAAGAGCAAGCAATTGTACCATGTTTCACTCCTGTTAAACATGGTCTTGGTAACAGGCAAAACAGCTCAACTGGTCAGAAAATGGCTTCCATTTTAAGAAAATTCTGTCAGTACAGTAAGCTTTCTTTCTTGCAATTGAAGGCAGTTATTTCCCCATGTGAATAGCTCCACGCTGCTTAGCAAGAGTTGAAATGTAAGCATGTGTATTGCTGTTCTCCTCCATAGGCTGGACACCAATCAGGCTACACTCTCAAAATACATCATTTTCTTCCTCTATGGCAAAGGAAAGGAGGGCACAGGCTATGGGAGATAGGATGCCTGACCAGAAAGCCCTACCTGTATTGCAGGACAGGAGTTCAGGGCACTTGAGACTGAAAAATGCTAATTAACCTGTTCACGATGAAAAATGCAGTGCCTGGCTAAGTAAAACTTCCTGGGAAAGCTTCTTGTCATTCTTTCAAAATGATAATCAGCCAAAATAAAGCAGCAGAAGTCTCTAGACGATACAGAATATTTACCTAACGAGGACTGGAAGAGGTGTCAGGAGTTTACCAAAACCAGTAAAAGAAATGGTACAGTTCAGTGTCGGGTACAAGACAGGCCCTACTTAGGATGAATGCTAATTTCTCAGAACCTTTGTGGCATCCAAATTTATCATTGCTTATTAGAGACTGGATTACTGTGATACAGAGCACTGTTCTCAAAGAGCAAATACAGTTTAGGACACTTGCTTTCTTTGATTGCAAAGAAAAGACTGAACTACTGTCACTATCTTAAAAAGAAAAAAGGCAGAAATTAAAGGCTTCAGCTATAGCTGGCAGAAAAAGCCTTCACAAGTTTTCCATTGCAAAGAAGTGAAAGTCTGAGGGACAAGACCAAGATGATTAAAAAAGGTACAGAAAATAATCGGCTGTTTAAAAAATTCTGATATTCCTATATATTCTGTTTTTAAAGAAGAGACATTCAAATAAAGATGAAGATCAGAAAAACAAGTAAGAAGCAGGCAGTTGGTGACTGTTGACTCGTTATGTTTTAAGAAGTTGAAGAAGCTGAGAAGCTCTATCACAAGTTGCCTTTCATGGTGTCTGCCCCTGGAGAAGCACCAAGGAGGGGAAGGCAGGGCTGCCAGTGCACCAGGAGGTACTACGGTGCCAGGGCCACGTGTGGAGCGGCTGCAGCGAGGTCCCAAAGGATCTCCTGTCTCCACAATGCTATTCAACAGCAAAACCTTGCAGCCACCGATCAGATGAGAAATTGGTAAGAACACACGCTACACGCGAGCTTCTCCAACAGGCTGAATAGCTCTTGGAAGCACGGTACTGAAAGGAGAGGGCCGCAGGCTGGCAAGTCCTACCTCAGTCTTCGTTGGTTTGTCCCAGGCTACACTTACATGTACGTAAACACAATCAGTTCCAGAGAAAACACTGAGCTTTCTCTCAACACAGTGAGTAAACATTGCCTTGTACAAGCCAAGTTGCCCTTATTTATTTCACTTCTCAATAACACTGCAAGCAGCAGGCAATTTATTTCATGTATTTCCTGAGAGAACATCCACCAACAATCCCACGCAGTAGATGGATTTGCTGTGTTTGCAAGCAAAGACGATGGGTGAATGTGCTTCATGCAGCATGAACAGTTCTTTCAAGAAAGACAGGAAATGTATCCAAGTAGATCCCTAGAGACTTGAAATTCTTCCAAGAATAACCCTAAACTGGCCTCTGCAATCCCCTACAGTTCTGTGGGAATAGCTTCGATTCACTCAAGAAACATAGGTCTGAACTTCGCTACTTAAGCTGACAAACTAGAGGGCTAAGTACCTAAATCCAGTCCTGAAAGACTGAATTTTGCTTTGACGTGCTGACCATAACCCTGAGGGGCCTCACAGCATTCTGTGCCATTTGTGGTAAAATCTGCTCATGCTCTTAAAAATGCATGCTGGAGACATTAAAACAGCTAAAGCTTATTTAGAGTTCCTGCTTACAAAGCCAGTCTTTATTGCCTCCTCAGACAGCGCAGACAGCAGCACACGCGCAGTACGCTGCCCATACAAAGCGCTGGTAGTCCCCACGTACGCTGCTGGTGCCGAATACAACACGGGCATCACGGGTGACAAAACTTGCATCAGAAGTTACTTATCTTGTGGCTCCAAAATAAAAGCATCAAGTGGCATGCATGTAAAATACATTACAACTTAAACCTGACGCTCTGCTTAGAGGTTCTCCATTTCTCAGCTGAGTTCAAATTCATCAAGCAAACTAAACAATTTTTGCTATGAAGCTAGAAGCACTAAGAAAGGGGAGCAGGGAGGCATGACTGAATAGTTTTCATACCAATTGTGAGAGTTATTGCCTCCAAGAGTTATAAGGACTGCAAATGAATCTTCTTTGCTGGGTTTGCATATTTAGAAAAATAGTTCAATTCCCTCAGCTTTCATACCAAGTTGTCACGTTGTGTATGGTGCCAGAACTAAACTTTCAAAACAGAAAAAATGGGTGGGAGCGTGGACACAAAACAGACCCATAAACAAACAAGCAAAAAAAAAAGTTCCCCAGGAGTGCTTCATCAGAAAGAGTGGGTGATAACACAGATGCTTCTTCCAAATGGGACAAACGGTTGATGAAATAGAGCATTACTAAAAGTTTCAGAGGATAGTCAAAAGAGAAGAAAAAAAATGACCAACATCAGTTTGGGATAAATTGGAAAGCCCTGCCAAGTGGTCATGCACCGAAGATAACACCAGGAGAGAAAAATAGGAGTGAATTTTTGAAAATTATCATGTTAAACACTGTACCCACAGCTGCCAAGCTGCCACATGCTTTCAAATTCCAACTTGGCTTCTATTTGGGTAGCAAACACGTAATGAGCCTAGTGGCACAGTCTTAAAGCAGTGGGAGAACATCAGCAAGGAACAGTAACAACAGCTCTGGAAAAAATCCACCGTACCTCACCTTGCTGACTCAGAACGTTACATGTATGCCATGCAAATTCCAGCTTAGAGGACACGATCTCAGAAATAGGTTGTAGGTGGACTATGTAATGAGATTATCTAACTTTCAGACTTTAAAACCCTCCTTTGGCATCTAATTAAAAAGATGTACTCCCACACATAGAAGTGAAAATGAATTCTAAATAAGGTTGTAATAAAGCCAGAGGGGAAAAAAATAAAAAACCAAAACCAAACAACAAAAGCTGAAAACAATACACAAATACACAGTCAGTACAGTCACATACTTGTATGCTTTCTTCTCTTTCTTCTCTATGTAGATGTCACCACTGCTCAGATATGCACCCGAATGAGATCTAGGATTTACTACTTCTTGTTGAAACACATTTTCCAGCTATGTAACATTCTGTTGAGTATTTACAGACTTTTTTACTTGTTTTAAGTCTTCAGTCTTCAATTCTCTCAGATACACCATTCAATTTTCTTGGAAATACCTCACAAAAGCACAACTATTCCAAGCATTTTCTGTGCCCCCAAAGACATGGTGCTCTCAGTTGTTTCACCTGCACTTAACAGGAAGGCAAAAAGATTCCACGGCTTTTTAGCCAGTAATAAAATGGTATAGTCAAGTGCTGCAGAAAAGCCAGCCATGCAAAGAAATGAAAAGCAATAAAGCAACTGCAGAGTTCAGAAATCTTTAAAAGAAACTAGAAATCAAATTTCAAAATTAGATTCTGTCCTGAGAGTAATGCAGCAATGCGCCAAAATAGGAACATATATACATATATACATATGTATAAACATGAAAGTTCCACACTATATGCCTTAAAAAAAGTATGCAGCCTTATAAGCTGTTCTAATGATTACGTAAACATCCAAGGAGGGGGGGTGTGTGTCACAGAACCAGTCCAATTAAAGAATAAGTTTTCCCATGCAGTAGTAGCCAAGAATGAGGAGTAAAGAGAAAAATCGAGCCCAACTACTAGAGAAAATGAAAGCCAAAGCTTGCATGTTCATTCCAGTTAGATCTTCAGTTACTGGGTAACTAATCTTACAAGATCATAGATAGACCGACACTTGGGCAACACACAAGTAGGCTAATTGGTCTGATGGATGCCTTCCAGCCTAGATCTGTTCTAAGATCTTCAGTGGCGTTGTGAAGATGGGAACAAGGCCAATTTCTTACATCACTAACAGCTCCAAACAGGCAGCAGTCATTACAATTTTTTATTTTTTTTTAATTTTACTATGAGGTAAAAGTTGCTAATGATACCAGAAAGAAATGCAGGGAAGTATTTCAAAGTTGCAAGTGGAATTCGTAGCTTTCTAGCAAAAGACTCCTATTAATCTGGTCCAAGACTACTTGAACACAGCAGAGATGTTACGATTCCAGAGAACCTGCAAGTTTGAGTGATCTCCCCTAGTACTATGGTTTTATTTACAAGCAGCTCATAAAAAGATGTAGATTTCAGAAGCACTGTACAGATAGGAATGACACATATCAGAATCCTGCAGGAGTAATTGGAGAATGAAGCATTAATTATTGCAAGACATTGCTGTAAAGACAGTATAGGGATCTGCTAGGCTGAGATAAATAACTGAGTAACGGTTTCTGAAATGTGATCTCAAATTTCACAGTCGAAACCCTGAAGCGAAGATCTACCAGATTTCTTTCCGCCATGGGTAAATGCGTCATTGTCTTCTCTGAAGGAGACCTCGACACCGCCTTAGCAGTAACAGGAAGAGAATCTTGTCCAAAAGCATTAAGAAAGGACAGAATATTTTGAAGTGATTCACTTAGAGTTAGTCTATTTATTAAGCCTGTAATTTTCCAATATCCTTAAATGTTATTGTTTTAACGTAGTATTTGAACAATAAGATCTTATCTGATTTCTCATAACAGAAGCTGTTGCCTTAAGGGAGAGTACCATAAATCTTTCCTGCCTAGGACAATCCAGCACTTTCTTGCAATACGTGTATCACACCAACCTTTTGCCTAAAAAGATAAAAAAACCAAAACAAAACACTGCTTTAAGTAAATAAAAAAGCACAGAAGTATTGAGTCATTGTACTTACATCATAAACCTGGGGACTTGTCAGACAGCGAGCTACCAGGCCACACCAGCTGGGTAGAGTCGTGGTTAACGGAGGGCCACTGTGAGTGAGAATTGGCTTTAAGTAACTTACCTGCTTAAGGAAAACACATTAGTGCTCGAAAACCACTATTGAAAATAAAGACATTGTACATAAATGTGATTCTGCCTTTGATCTATGTACTATGCAATAATTTTACATAAAACAGCGATTGGAAAAAATCTTTAAAAAAAAAAAAAAAAAAAAAAAAAAACCCCCCCCCCCCCCCCCCCGATGTTCCCCTTGCTCCTTTCAAGGGCGGCTTCTTCACTCGCGCATTTTCTGCAAGGGCAACTAGCTAACTCTATTCTTAAATGTTTTGAACAGTTGCAACGTTTCCAGCTTTTGGACTCTCTGGGGCCAAAAGGAGCAAGCAGAGGTACAAATGCTTTGGTGTTACTAGGTCCAAGGGTATTTCTGCTCTGGATTTGGGAGCATGGTGTTGAGGTTGCAAGCTAGAGGTAACAAGATCACATACTTACATGGCTCAACACAGGGAAACACAGAAATACTGTCCATCCAACATCCTCCAAGCAACGCAGCCACTTGAATTGCTAGCTGGTCCAGAGATGCAACCAGAGCTCTTACTCTGGTAAGGCTCAAATACATCTCTGCAGTGCACCTATACATACCACACAGAGCCTCAGGAAGGCAAAGGGGAAACCGTAAGGCAAGGACTATGTAACAGCATAGAAGGAAAGCAGTGCTGCCTAGATTACACTGAGAGGGCATCGGAGTGGAAAAGGAAGGTGTCTTTACACCTGTTTTCATAGGTGTGCCCCCAGGTGAATCCATATTTGTTCACACTAACACTCCAGACTGATGATATGCCTCAGGAGTCAAAAAAGTGTCCCTGCCACAGAGCAGCATGATGATCTTGACTGGACAAGAACAGAGCTCAGGATGAGAGTGCCAAGACATCCAAACATTGTCTGAAAATCAGGACCACAGGGTTTTGGGTTGTCAAGGTTTTTTTTTAAGTCAGTCTGATTATTTTAAATGTATTCTAGTTACTTTCCTAGGCCTCTAAGCACAGAGGGAATCAAGCCCATTTGTGAATATACCAGTTTCGCTGATCCTCTCAACAGATCAAGGTGCTTAGTGGAAAGAGGGGATTAAAAGGGGGAGCTGTTTTAGCAGAGACGCATCCCTCCGCTTTAGCAGAGCCTGGCATAGCATGTTTACTTGAGCATAGAACAGCATGATTATGCCACTGCAGAGTTATGTTTCCTCCTTCCCTGCTCCAGTAACAGTGCGGCTACACCCAGCCCTGGCAAGAAATAAACCCTTCCCCCTCCCACTAACCTACCAGCCTCCACACTGCCCTGTGGCAGACGGGCACACAGTGACTCGGTCATAAAAAAACAAACCCTGTAAAAGACACGTGGTACGTCAAAGTTGCAGTTTTCTTCATGTTAAACAATTGTGGGTGAACCCAGGGAACAGCCTATGACATTCAATGAACTCTGCATTCCAGAGGAATGAAGTTCCTGGTTATCCATCCACACAGAACTCTGCAGGCAATAGCCAGCGTCGGAGCACGCTGCCAAATGCAGCTTACTCACATCTTTCTCAAGTTAAGTTCCCTTACAGAGAGCGTATTTTGAGACAGCCTGCCTTTCTACTCACAAACCAAGTGAATGCATCAGCAAAAAATCTTTTGACCTTCAGCCATGACTACAGAGGTGGCAATTCTAAAGATCATCCCTTTCGCGCTATTTAAGCCCACCCAGCCAACGTTTGTCTGAATGCCTCCTTGCAACAGAAGCAGCAGAATTTTACCTCTCCAAGATACAGTAAGACAGTTCTGCCTCTGGCTGTCAGTTCCCTTGGCACAAAGTTCACAGAAACCTTCCCTGAAGATTGCTAGTGACCACTGAAAAAGCAAGTGCATTACTAGCATCCTTGAAGTTTCTGTCAAACAGCTAATCAAGCTGTAAGTTTCACCTAGCACTCCCCCAGGCCTTGCTGCAGCTGCTGGAGACCACACTTGTGCTAGCATCAGCTGAGGGGAAGTCAGCATTGCCAACTACTCCTTTTTTCACAGCACACATCCCTTTTGTAAAGGCAGAGGAAGAGGATGGCTCTGCTTCCTCCTTAAAAAATAAAAATAAAAATAGTAGCAAGCCACAGCCAGACCCTTCCGTGCTTTTACCAGTCCTTTTTTTTTAATAACAAAAATTGACCTCAATACACTGACACTAGCCACTATGCAAAGGGTAATAAAGGTAACTAAAAATTACTACCATCTATGAATATTTAACCTAGCACATGCACACCCTTCTAAGCTTTGGCCCACTACTGCCGCATCTGAAAGCGTCAGTCACAAACAGATTTTCTCCTGAACAGGCAACTGCTGTTAGGATCTGAATGCTTTCAATACAATGCCTGCGTTTCCCTGGGTGAGAAATCTTGATGCACAAGCATGGAAGGAAACTACTGTTCTCCAACCAGGCCATCGATATCTCAATCGCCAACGGACAAGACGCCAGTGAGAAGCCTCATTTCTCAGATGCAAGCTGCAACAAGATTAAGGCCCTGTCAGAGATATTGACATACATTTAACTGCCCCAGATATTACTATGAATCAAAAACTGAAAAGTCTTTGAATTTCCGGGTATAAGTGACTTGCCATGGCCACAAGATTAGCTTTCCACTTTCCACTGAGTGTGAGCTGCTAAGCAGGGGAACCTGTATGATATACTGATTCAGAATATACTAAGTAGATTAAAGAAACACAAGCATGAAAGACAGGACAGCTACACAAAAATTGCTCAGAAGCTTAAACAAGGCTATCTAAATACTGTAATAACAGCTTCAGAAAGGTTGTACAATACTGTTTACACTCAAGGACACTCTCTGCTTCAACACCCATAGGAGGTTCTGGATATACTGAAGGGAATAAACTGGATCACACCGATTTTTAGTTCCAGAACTTCCTGAATCAGTGATGGGCTTCAGAGAGGACTTATCTGCATCTGCAAAAGCAGATGGCTCTTCAGGACAATAAGCTGGGGGTCAGGCATGTACAATGAACTGGAAAACTAGTTTGTGCTCTGAGCGTCAGTGAAGATGAGAACAGCTTAATGGAACAAATCAGAGGGTCTGAAATAGTTAATTGGCTGTCTTGTTTCGGAAGAACTTCAGCTGCTAGATCTGACTGGTTTTCATCCCCTGTTAATCAGAGAAATGAAAGGTCTGACTTCTGAGTCAGCAAGTCCAAGCTTCCGTTTAGTGCCTTGAACCTGTCAAATACTTGATCTTTCTCATGTTTGACTCCTCAAGTGCTTAAGGCTACATATGGGCACGTGGAAAGGAAAAAACCTGAACAGCTCATGTCTTGAAGCAAAGCTGTGTTTTCAAAAGGATACTTATGGTCAAAGCTATACCATAGCCTGAAGAGCCATGCACTTTCCTGTTTCGTCCTGTTCCTTCTTTCAGAATCCGGGCCGTCCTGAAAATAAGATAAAAACACACTGCATTTTTTCATGCAGAAAAAACCTCAAATCATACATTCCAATCATTCGCACTATAACATCCTGTCCAAAAAAGCCAAATTACTTCAATATTGTACTTAGACTGCAGAAGAAAGCTATTTAGAGATATGCTTATACTGAGAAGGTTACTTTCCCTAGAAAGACCAGAAATAACTGTGCAGAGAAGTATGCGCTCTTCACTATCCTCAAGTTACCTTATTGAGCCCTCTGCCATCCAGTTCCCTTGACTCTAAAAGCTTATCGCACAGTTAATGCGGTAATGGAGATAGAAATAAGTCCAAAACTGATAAATAAGCCTCACTGATGTCCTGCCCCCCTCGCCCTCCACAAATAAGCGAACTGGAATAATCCAGACTGATTCCTGTTCATTGCTTGGTTGGCTTCCTTATCTAGGTCTATTTGATGTCCTTGCCCTGAGGTTGTTGCTGCCTTGCTTCCAAGGTACAAGGGAATTTACCATACCTGATAAGCTCTCACAAACCTGGTGAAATGCATCACACTAAAAAGAAACATGCTTAACAGGGAATCTGTATAAAATCACAACTGAGGAAGGTCATGCAAATTTCTTAAGTGCTAGATCAACCTCTGAAGTGGTAACAGGGTTAAACAGAATCCCTTTACTAGCTGTGCTGCAAGTCATCGCACCAGCTGGTCTGCAGCTGCATTTGTTTGTACTTTTGTCACTGTTCTGGGGCTTTTTTGGCCAGAGGCCAAAGTTAAACACAGGAAAACAGATGAAGTGAGAACGCCTTGTATGAATCATCTTCCAAACTACTAGAAAAAGAACAGGATGGGATTGCCCTGTCTACTTCTGATTTGAAAAAAATCTATGATGCACCAAGAGTTAAAGCTTAGTACATAACTGTGACATGCTGCTAATCTTGGTGTGCTGAAAGAAAAAGGAATCCAAAGGGAACTGACTAACAGCATCCATAAGGAATGCAATGCACAGCTAAAGAGGGAAACAAATGGGTAAGTGCTTTATGTTTACATGGGAAAAAGGCAAACAAGTTATTTCCACACAGACACTGAATGAGAACAGAATACCCATGCTCTGTTAAAGCAATTCCTCAAATACTGACAAGCTCAGGCTGAACTGGCCAAAGCCATCTTACCACGATACCACTTCCTAACCTTGGTTTTATGCAATAACTGTGGCCTTCATTGTAGAAGGTGTTTTGAGGCCTGGCCTTCTGGTAGCTTCCAGATAGCTACAAAACCAAGTTCACCTTTTTTGGTACCAAAACCCACCATTTCAGAATCTATTTTGTGTGCTGGACACAGGCTTCTACAACGAACACAGAGAAGCCTAATGCAGCTTCTGCAATGGAAGAGATGCTTCCTGAGCAAGTATCTCACCTGTACAACCTGTGACAAAAACAAGGCGAGGCAGGAGAAACCACTAATAAGAAAGCTGATCCCAAATACAGCAAGTATCCCATGGATGTATCCGACCAGCCCGAACACTAGCACCATACCACCCGAGGTTTACAAAGCAGGGTTCATACACTTGCACCCTGTGCATCCTCTGGGTCCAACACCGTCTGTCTTTCCTGCCACTCAGCTTCCTCTAGCAGATTCCTACATAAGCAACCAGTTGTGCTACTGAACAATTAGTGTCAAGCAGTAGTCTGGGAGAGTATAAACTAAAGTCTGGACAGAGGAAGTTCCCAGTGAAGCCTCAGGAAATGTTGTGATGTTTTGTGTTCCCCACCCCCCAACTTTTCGCTCCTCCTGTGAATTCGCTCGGTTTATAGACAAGGAAAACTGAAATTTCTGCTACAAACCACAGTCTTCTGACAGTCTTGTTTGTCGATAGCATATTGCAAGGAAAAAAGTCAACTCCTGGGTTGTTAACGCTACATAGAAAGCTGCAATAGAGGTTCACAGCAACAGTTTCCTAAATATAAATGACAAATTTCTAGTGCTCCTTTTGCCTCATGCAGGTGGTAGGTATTACGGGTAAGATCCAGCTGGCTTGAGACACAGTATACAGGAGCAGAAATCAGATCTGAGAACTCAATCTTGGATTCTAAGCAAGTCCAAGGGCCAAAATTGGGTATCAATTATTGAACAGAAGCCAAGAGGATTATCTCTGGGATAGTCTTGGGGAGGGCAGTTTATGCTGTAGCATGTCGAAAGCAAGCATGTTGGGCAGGTGGGGGAAGAGGAAAGCACATTGTTAAATAGAGTGTATTAGTAGATTTGGGAAGGCTTTTGATGCCCTGTAAATAGAGCATACACAAGAATTCAAACACTGCAGCATTATACCCAATACCACAGAATGTTTTTTGGTAGGCATTACTTGAATATTACAAGTAATATGCATCACTGACTTGCCAGCAAAGAGAGAAAGGTTTTATCCATACAGGTAGCTTCTGCAGTTCTTTATCATCTTAGTTACAAAATGAGATCACCTAATAGAGAAGTTATGTCATTACTTACTCCTTGTAAGACTTGAAAGCTGTCGTTAGTAGGTGGAGGATCCTGATCTGGGTCAACCCCAACCCTACAGAGACATTAGGAAAACAAAGCAAGTGGTGTTACTGAGGGTTGCAAATGCTGTAAGTTTGGCAGAATGCATTTTAAAAGCACTTTAAGCACCCAGCAAAGCTGCATTCAGAGAGGTTATAAGAATAGTTTGAGGAAGAGCTGTCCATTATACCCTTGCAGTTATATAGCTATAAACAAGGTATTTTTTCACTCAAACAGCAACTACCTATAGATAACAGCTTTAACTCCATCTCAGCATCAACTGCTTACCTTTGTTGCCAGTTTTATTAGGACACTGACAAATACTATTTTTGCCTTAAAAGGTGAACTCTTCTTCAGGTGAGAACAGGTGACATCATCTTCAGTGGAGAACATACCTTATGTCCATGAGCACGAAACCAGAGACTAAGGATAAGACTAGCCTAAATATTTGACACAGAAAATACCTTAGCTGCCAAATAGGCCTCAGAATGGCTCAAATATACAATTAAAAGAAGCCACACACACCAAGTTTTAATGCACTGTGTGAAGCAACAAAAATACTTTATAAAGACTCATAATATTAATTTGCTTCAAGTTTCATTCACCTAACACAACACAGCCACAGTGGATTAACAAGAGGCCTGCTTAGTCAGGTCTCCCACCGGAGTGAGGGAGGGTCTGCATAATGAGATGGTGGATGATTACAGAATAATGTGTTAATAAGAAACTGTCTACTACTCACTTTTGCATAGTTAGCAAGCATCTTATTACTGAACCATCTTTTCACATAGTGCTCCTATCCAAGATGGGTATTTAATCCTTGTAATTATGTTCAGGTTTTTCTGGTCTGGTTTGGGAGTTGCTATTTGTTAAGATTAGACTTGTCTAGTTTTAAGTCTTGTTCATGCCTCAATCTCTGTTCTCTCTTTCAGAGCCTAGACCTCCAACCTCAAACGTTAGGTAAGATTGTCAGTCTCAAATGTGTTGTGTTTCAGTCCTACCATGTTGCGTAATAAGCGCAGGAAAATGCACGCAATAACAAAAACATATTGTCTGAAATGGCCAACTTCTTTCTTTCCCCTGTCTTGGAAGTGACTGAGCTGGTTTAGTGTAATTTCTTTGTTACCTAGACTTTGTGCCAACTCTTTCTAGCCACAGCATTTATGCAACAACCCTGAGGATCACCAGAAACCAACGGAACCTTGCTGCTGAGACCATATAATTTGTTTGTCCCAGGGACAGACGCTCACATAAGGCAAGCAGTGATCCAGACATCATTTACCTTCAGGAACAGCACAGATTACTAAACTAAAAGGGAATATCTTCAAATAACTTCCAGGGCAGCACTTTCTAATAGAACAATAGAAGAAGAAAAGTATGCGTTGAACTAAAGTTTTAAGTCATCCTTGTGGACTCACAGCCAATCCAAGGCCTCAAATGACAACGTACTTCAGGGAAAACCCAGAAGGCCACTCTAAGATAGCCTGCAGCAGCCACATATAGCTAGTGCTGATCCAGTCCTCTGCTTGGACTTTTTTCTTGAGTCTCTTTTCTTTCCTCATCACTTCCTCTTTCCACATACAGCGTCATCTTAACCCTTAGGCGTATTTGGCCTTGGAATTCATTGGCACTGACCAGCCTCCATACTAAAAAGCTTCACCAGTTTAAGGGAACATTGGACAGACGGATTGAGTACTGGATTGTAACATATGCTAAAATAAAGTGTCACACACAAGAACTCGGAAAGGTTACAAGGGCTTAGATGTCACTGCCTGGACTATCACTAAGCAGCGAAGACATGATAAGAAGGGTTTTCAGCAGGCAAACTAGTTACCTAATGAAGCCTCATGCGGAAAGCTGACAAGCAACGTCAGGAAACCGACCCAGGATGCCAACATACATAAGATTGCGCATTCCTTTACTAATACACATAAAAAGAAAAGAAAAAGATTTCTGGCTTCCCAAACTCCAGCTGCACGTTGGGGAGATTCAATGCACTACACACAGCAACCACCCTCGAGTTAGCCATACAACTGGCAATATCAACAGGGAGTTTGAGAAGCTCATTCCAGAAGATGAACATAGCTTGCATTCCCTAAATAGTTTTAAATTCCTGGGCTACCCATCCACTTCACAGTACATACGAAAACCCAGACAATTCTGAGTGTCTCAGCTTTTACTGAACTTACAAGGCTGTGCATTTGTTTGGGGGATTTTAACTGCCCTTACGCAAGGGAAGGGAGCTTAGTGGAGGACCAAAGCAGGATGGCCATAGTGTTCAGTGAAAAGTCATGGTACATCACAGGCCAGGTGTTTGGGTTCATTGTTGTGCTGAAGAGGAAAATAGAGCTTTTCTATATTAAAATGGTTCAACTTCTAGAAAAAAACTCTTACTACAGATGTTTCTTTTAATATTGAAATAGTACATCAACACAGACTTACCCTTTTTAAATTTTTTTCAAAGTTATTCTTCATGTGAATTTCTACTTTGAGTATTTCTAATTGTTTACTATAAATCACTTATTTTTTCTCCAGTTCCTGTTCCAAACGGTGTTCCTCAGTTCACAGAGTAACACAAAATACATTGCTATTCTGAATTCCCATGGCTACTTTTTGTATCTTTTAATGAGCATACTAGATCTCTTAACCCCTACTTTAGCAGAATTGTATAGGAAGTTTTATTTTTATGTAGCAAGTCAGTCTGTTTAAGTTTCAAGCTATATACACCCTGGTCTCATGACAAGCATCATGCTTTTGCAGGCCCTGCCCCCATATTTCTAAGAAAGTCTCATGTTTATCACCTGAAACAAAACAACAGCAAAACCCAGTCAAATCTCTCCCAAACTCCTTTGCAGTGAAGAGAAGCGCAGAAAACATTTAGTTATGTCATCCGTCCTTTACTACTTCTGTAATTTAAAGAAAAAGTAAAGCTGATGCATGTATGTCTTCAACATAATTTTTTTTCCTGTTCAAAGAAAAAAAAAAAAAAAAATCCATCTCACATCCTTAAGTATGTTTAAAAAGCTTCCTGTAATTTAGATGTGCTGTAAAGGCCAATATCAGTTCTCATTTATTTAATCAGTTTTTACGTTAAGAAAAATTGTTACGGGGTTGATTTACGCATATCCCCTCTCAGAGATCAGGGACACAGAGAGGGTAGCCTTGCTAACGACTGGGGTCTTTTGCTCAAACCCTAGCAGACAGGCAGGTGAGGAAGCAAGCTCTGGGTGAAAACAGTGTTTTGCTGGAGAAGCGCAGATTGCGCGCTGAGGATTGGGGGGCACGTCGGCTGTGGGACAGCCAAGGCCAGGGCAGGGCAGATGCCAGCAAGCATCTTTGTTTTCCCCTCCACCCTTTCCGAAAGCCCATTGCAGCAGTTGTGTGTGGATTCCCCGAGGGTGTACAGTAGGAATTCAAATAAGTAACTCTTAAAAAGCAGATGTCAGATGAAGAATATGAGCAGTCTTCCAGCTGTAATGCACATATATCCCAAAACTGGTGAAAAATCCATCTACTTCCCCCACTGGCATCAATTCAATATTTGATAGATACCCTAATACTTCAGTACAGACAGTTACTGGTACATACAGTTCACCCATCTTTATTTCTGCCTTGGGAAGTTTACTGGAATCTGTAGACAAGAGTATGCTACAGTAAACATCCAATTAAAGCATATTTCTTCACTCTTCCCTAATTAAATTTTTTTTTTGTTGATTTTGAGGCATAAAAGGTTTTTCATGCTTTCAGAATTCCAAAATAGCAAAGGGACTATTGCTGAGCTCCTAACGCTCGATACCAAAGCACCCCTTTTCTGCTCTTAACTGACTCCTGACCTTCTTGGTCCTTATTCTACAGCTAGAACTCCAGCATCACACGTAGGAGAGCAGTTACTCAGTTTTGATCCCTCAAAGGCTAAGCCTATGTATAATTCAGTAATTTAAGCAGTGTGGCAGAAAACGGTTGACAAACAAAATGTGGAACGCAAAGTGGAAACCAAGTGTATGGGAAGGAATGGTACGAAAAACAGAACTACTTCAAGTTCTCCACTATGTCATTTTAAAGTGGGTGGAACCATTTCTTCTGATACTTCAAAAACCTTTCCAAGGCCCTGAAACACATAGACGACAAATTACCAAAATACCAGGCTTTATTACATTCTAGCATCTGTATTTAGTGTGGCAACAGCCAAGACTGACTGTAGTAGATAATAGTTCTCAAATTCTCTGTACAAGCTAACATACTGCATCTCTGGCAAATTTAGTAGTTGGCTGGGAACCTTCAAGTGTCACAGGATACGTGAAAAACTTACCATTGCCCCACCCCAAAGACTTCTTTTTATACAAATATTCTGTATATATTTGTATATGCAAACGTATATGTGCATACACACACTCTCCTGTAGCTGCCAGTTACAGATTTTTTTTTTTCCTTCTTTCTCTATCCATGTATCAGTTCTAGAAACCATCAACTGCAGACGACCAGGATTCTGAAGGAATACTTAAGAATACCTGTGTGATTAAGGATCATAGGATCGCATCCATGATATATCAGCTTTCAAGTCTTCCCAGGCCAGAAACACTAATTTCGCTTCATTAATTACCCATACACAAGAGTCAAAGGATGTGATGTTTTGTGGGTTTTTTTTTAAGCGGAAGACATGACGTGTGATCCACACTCTCCCAGCTCAGAAGAGAACAGACTCAGAATTGAGGAACATCTACAGCACTCTGCAGAAAAGGAAAAGCAACAGCAGCATGCCGTAGTATAGAAAAAGAGCACACCCTTTGTGTTATAAAGATGGAGAAAGCCAAGCACCAGGTTAATTTGGTATAAAGGAAAGCACAGTGTCACCTGAAATATAGCCAGCGGCTTTCATTCATCTCTTCCACCGATGGAACATGGTCACCAACTCTGGTACAGTACAAGAATGCAATGTGAGTAACAAAATGCTCATGAGATGGTAGCTTTACAGAGCTGGCAAAACAAAATAAACCAACAAAACCCCTACCCAATCAGAAAAGACAAAGCATACAAGAATGGCAGAACGATTGCAAAGTGACAAAAATTGTATAAATTAACAACAGCAGCACTTTATGATTGAGATGTCCAGTGATGTTCTTCATTCCTTCAGGTTCAGGCTGGCAAAACACCTGTATTCAGGACAGGCTACCTCCCCCAGAAAATTAGATTCAGTAGCTCTCAAGAGAGCTGCTACACAGAGACAGAGCCAACCTAAGGCAAGTCCTACCACTTCGGACCTGCACATGGTCTAAAAGAGAAAAAGTCATTAGAGAAAGTCATGACAGAGGCCATCAATACTGCCCAGTTTCAGAGCAGTCCAACACAACTGGCAATACATACTAAACCACTCAGTTGGTTTAACTAACAATTGACTAACAATCTTTAACATAACCAATCTCCAGTCATAGGAGAGTGTGCTTTTACTCCTTGCTTTGCCTTTTTCAATTTTACTTAAAAAAAAAAAAGAAAAAAAAAAAGAAAAAAAAAAAAAAAAAAAAAAAAAAAAGAAAAAAAAAAAGAAAAAAAAAAAGAAAAAAAAAGAAAAAAAGAAAAAAAAACAACAGAAAAACACAAGTGAAGGCATGTTTGGTTTCTAGAACTATGTAAATTCCTTAGCAGCTTGTGGGGTATTTTCCCCATTTTTCCATGAAGGTATGCTACATGAACTATATATTGCTTGTGTGAAATAAAGGCACAGATCGTCAGAAATCCACAGAGGCCTCCCTTTACAAGGAGCAGGTGTACACATCCTGACTGCAGCCTCACATCTCAACGAACCAAATATTTAAGACCGTAGCTTGTGCTATGAAGAGCATGCACTCATCTAATCCTTGAAGGCCCAGGAAAATACCAGACTTTGGATAGATTTGTTTTGGATTCCTGGTTCAATAGCTCTTCTCCCATATGGACACACACTCCAGGTCAGAGCACTCGGGTCCAAAAGGCCGACACTGAGACGGCTCTGCACACGCAGCAAAAACTAAAATTAAAAACTGCTCAAAAACTTCCCTTCTACAACTTCTTTCTCTTTGCTGTATATGTGCCAAGTTAGAACACTGAAGTTTTCCCAGATGTCTATAATGAGTGCAACATTTTTAGAACATTTTAGCTATTTTGGAAGAGTTCAACTGTTTCTCAGAAGATGGCTGAGGAAGAAGTTAATTCCCACCACCATGTTTAAAATACCCCCACACAAACCAATCACTAAAAAAACCCTGGAATTAGGCAAAGTTGTTTCTGGTTTGTTTTAGGGTGGCTTCGGGTATTCCTTTACTTGACCTAACCAAGGTAATGACTCCTGAAACTGCCTGCTGAGGCTTGCCAGAGCTTGGCAGTTAAATCCATATCACCCATGTGCTCTAGATATATCTCAACCAGCTCCTATGGGGTCTGGGCCTTCCCCACTCTTTTTCTCTTTAGTGTGAATTGCTATGTTTCAGAGCACAAGAACATAGATAAGCAAGCATCTCCCATGCTTACTTCCAGACATCCAAAAGAGGAGGCAATCTCTTTCCTTACCAAGGGAAAAACCCAGAGGGGTGAGGCTGGAGGTTTGGAGGCTGCACTGCAACTCCATTAAGACAGATTCAAGCTTAAGGATGAGAAAGCAGAGACTGGGAAAGAAGGAGGAAGATGGGAGAAACTAGAAAGGGAAAGACAACTAGAGAAAATAGTGTGGAAAAAGATATGGTGAAAGGAAAAAGCCCACAACAGAGGGCAAAGGACAGCGCCCGTGTCTGTGCATCTGCCCTTCCAAGGCAGCAGCAAGCAGCACGAAGGCAGTGAAGTGAAGGATCTAAGTTGCAGAATAATGGAAACAGGCTGCAGAGCAGAAGGATGCAACCTCCTACCGGACACTCCCCACTCCAGTCTGGAACATAAGACAAGGCTGGGTCCCAGCATCAGCACTCGCCTCCTGCCATCGCAGCACGCTGAGGCATGTTATTTAAGAAATGCACTTTTTATCATTGAACCACCCTGGGTAAGATACTAGGGCATAAACGGAGACTGCCACCAAGCTGTCAGTTTTACCACCATCCCAGATCGCTGCTACGTAAACTACCTACCTATGTGAGACTTAGCATTTCCAGATTTCTTTTTCAGTTTGCTCATTTAAAGAGCGGGGAAAAAAAATCACTAGATAAAAAGCTGTTAAAAATATTATATTGGCAAAGTCAGACATAAGGCAGTAAATATCTAAGTTGACCATTCAACCTTTAACTTTTCTGGTAGAAAGACATCTGAAACATTTTAAATTGAAAAATATAATGCTCACATTTAAGATTTGGAAAAAGGTTCCCAAGTACAACTGAAATTACTTCATTAAAACAAACATGAAATTCCTCATATGAAGCAGTTTATGAAGGAGAGGAAGGCATTAATCTACATGTTGCTTCATTCAACATGAAAAGAACCAGGTCTACAACCTCTAATGAAAAACGGAAAAATCATTATTTTGCAACAGAAATGCTAGGAGTTCCCTTTTTTCCTGTAACAGATAAATGAAATGATAAGTCAGCTACTTTTCTGAAAAGAGGAACTTTGCCAGTGGTTTTGATTTATAGGGCTCTCGAGTTTGCTGAAATCGTTAAAACTTCAGACAGGAAATTGTTTCTTTGTTTCAGTCTCAAAGGACGAGACTAGGTTTTTAATATCCAAGTCATGCTTTAGTTTCTAAGAAAAAAAAAAAAATCTGCTGCTAGAAAAGCATAACTGTTTACCACTCACATGCTTGAATGTGTCTGCCTGTTTGACAGCCAAGAAATTCAAACACTTGATATCATGGCTTTAACTCCAGTTTCTTGTGTTAATTTTTGACTTGCTCAGCATCAAGTGGCACAAACCAGAAGCATTTAAAGATCCCATTATGTTTTACTCAAATTTTGTTGTCATGACCTCACTTTCCCAACCAGTTAAGCAGTAAACTGAAGTTAAGTCTGTGCTGCAAACCATAGGTCCTCTGCTTAGCTGTACATTTGAGCCTGATCACTGGACCCTGGTACACTGGTGACATACCCTGTCTGGAAATATAGCTGCTCTTCCGTATACTGCTTTTTACTTTACCAAAAATTAATTTTCATGTTAGTCTCTCCCTCCTTACCTACTTCTTATGTATTTCACATCATGGGAGCGAAGGGACCACTAGAAGTAAAGAACAATGCATGCACCCCAATGGCCACGCAACGAATGGTGCAGCAGAGGCTCTGAGCCACAGCAAAGCAATTCTGGATCCTTGTGCAGGGGTTGCCCCATGTATGCCCACCACTGCCTTCCATGAAGCCAGGCTGAAAGTCTTGGGTGAAGTCAGCTCTCCGGCACTATTCTACTTCAATTGTGCAGCCACAACCTTAAGTCAGACCCCTGGATGCTGACGTCTGTCTTAGCTCTTCTGACCTGCCCCATACAACAGCCCTGCACCAGCAGTCCCTCAGCTCAGCCCATTGCAGCCCACAGGACCCACTGAAGGGGCCACCCAGGAACCCCACTGTTGGGCAGCATTACAGTCATGGCACTCTGCCACACAACATCCAGGCAAACTGAACCAGCCCAGAGAGTCAGTCAGCCCGGGCAACCCTTTGTTAAAGCAGGCCCTTTTCTTCTCAGCACCACACAGCAGCAAGGCCAGCTACTTCATGAGGACTTTGCAATGCCTGACTGGCTTTCCATCGTTCCTCCCACAAAGGCTGAAGTCAACCAGGACACAACTTCTGTGAACTTCATACGAGATCTGGACTTTTAAGAGTCCACACAAATGCTGACATTTAAGTCCAACACACAAGTGGCATTAGTTTTCCATTTCCTTTCATTCATTTAATCTAGGAAGCAAACGACCTTTTATTTTTTAACCTCTTATCTGCTATATAATCCTGTATGGGACCACTACTTATTTCCAGTCTCTTGCAATCTCATCTGCTGGGTAAGTGCCAAGGCTCAGAAAGCATCCAAAGCCACTCCAGGGACAAATTGCCTACTGCACAGCTGCAGGACTGCATCAGCACTTTATAGCGTGCTGCTGAGCAAGGTACTGGAACAGCGTCTCATCTTCATCTCCTCCTGTTTATTCCACTGGGTAGAAAGGGATGGAAAAGAGAAAAGCATGATATTTCCAAAATTCAGCTGACAACTAATTTGTTGCTTTCCTAACTCTGTAAGGTCAGACGGGACTTCTTGCCTTCCAGCAGAAAGGGCTCTGTTGCAGAGGGTATTTTACCAGCACCAACTTTCTAATCCTCGATCAGCTGCACAAGGCTGCCACCTCCTGGCACAAATCTGATTTCATGTGGTCTCACAAAGTGCAGGCTCCATCATCAACAGAGCAGTGCCCATCAAGGCAGCTGTAGGCAGACCCATGCAGTTCTCCAAAATACTTCCCTACGTAGAGTTCCCTTGTTTACATGATATCCTTCCCTTAGTAAGAAAGTTAAACATTTCTTTTCTGTCAACCATGCCAAACAAATGACAGTTAAAATTAATGCTTACTAGCAAGGGTGGGTAAACCTCCCAAAAAAACTAAACACTCAAAACTGTGGTTCAGCCAACTGTCTTTTGGCAGCTACTCCTCTGGGAATGGTATCATAGCCTTTCCACTTGTTCTGTCTCGTTGGCCACACTAATGATTTTTGCCAGCAGAGTGTACCCAAAGGGCAAGCCTGGGATGGATACAGTGTTAACGCTTTCTCCCTTCAGGAACAACGGATCAGCCAGGCTCTTAAAGTCTCATTACTGAACCAGATTTGCCCTGCTAAAGGAGTAAGTGCGTATTCTTGGATGCTTCCAGAAACTGCTGCACAGGCTTGATGAAGAGAGAAAGAGGAAAAAAAAAAGGCGCTACCTCAGAACTAACTAGTTTCCATTTGGCCAGGAGCTGGGCCACATGCTAGAATTCAGTCCTGCCCTGCTGCTGCTGACCGAGGGAGCCCTGTGGCAGAGGTAACGGCTGACTGCACTCAGAAGCTGCCTTCTGATACAGGCAGATTGAACACAATTCCTCTTCACCTAGTTGTTCAGCAGCGCATTCCATCCCTTGCTGGATGACAGAGTCTGAAGGAAATACCCAGCTACGCTCCCTCAACAAGAGAGGCACAGGCAGCAGGGCAGGGGCTCAGGATGCCAGCACCTGCAGCGAGAGCCATTACAGGCAGTTTTGTTGATCTGGCTGCAGCCACGCTTCAGAAGATGCTTTGGAGGGCAGACAAGGGATATCCTCATGTTGGCCATCTCAGAGGCTGCAGGCAGATCTTGGCAGGCTTCCCTCAGCCGTTGCAAGCAGACTGGAAGAAGCGTTCTCACCTCCACGCTGCTGGCAGAACCCACCTCCTGCTCCCTGGTACCCAAACCTCGGACAGTCGATGCACACTGCCACTTCTGTAGACACCAGGCCTGCCCTGCTTACCAAAGTGTATTAGTACGGTTGTTCCTAATATACCACCATCAGACAGAAATCTGCTTCTGTTGCCAGAGGTGCCTAATGGAAAGCTGCACATGGTACCTATTCCAGGTATCTCGTTAAAGGCATTATACGGCCTTCACATAAAACCAGAGGCCAGTCAGGCTGGGCTTAGAAATAGCATTATGACGTGGTATCTCAAGATCATTAATGACTCAGCCGCACTGCAATTGTTTTTTGTTGATGATTTCACAGCAGGTGTTGCATTACCTGTTGTCAGCGACATGCCCTTCAGAGAGCCTGACTGCCTGGAAGTGATGCCTTTTTCTGGTGTGCTAGCCAAACCTCTGGAACTTGCATGTGAAGACAGTTTTGAAGGACAGAAGTGGGTTTGTTTGGCACCAGAGAAAGGAAACCGTGATTTCCCAATGTGTGCTGTTAGACAGAGCTCAGATACTGTAAATTACTGCTGTATCACTTGTCTCAGGCTGGAAGTGTGCTACCTTCACTCCTATCCATCTTTTTTTTCTAACCTACAAAGCACCTGCTACCTATTGCCACAAGTTGTTCATCAAAGTTTCGAAAAGCAGCAACCATCCCTAAGAACAGTCAGTCCTTCTAAAGACTGAAACTGGTTTTAACCAAGATTTTTTTTTTCTGTCCTATCACAAGACAACAGGAGACAAATTCTGGTTAGCGCAATTTGAAAGCAAGACAAAGTAAGCTTTCAAGTACGAAAGAGCATGGATAATTTACACACGAAAATGCACTGAAGGGTTTGTACAATGTGTATTGTTTTAATTCCATTCTATTTAACTTTGTGTGTCCCCCCAGCTGCCAACACTTTCACAGAATGATAACATATGTGGTCTTTAACAATGATTGATTCCCTATCCCCTAGCACTTCTGTTGTTAATTATCCTCAAACACAAAGGTACTTGCAGCCCTACAATACCAAGTACTGGCCAGCATTTCCAGACAAACAGCTATAATCATGCTGCTTACCCATTTTCATAGGTCTTCTCAAAACAGGAGGAAACATACCCAGAAGACCAGCAGGATCCCATTTATCCTGATTGTTTAAAGTCAGGCTTGTTTGGATAAATGTTTAAAGTGCATTCAGTTTAGCACCACCCACTAAAGACTCCATTTCACTTAAAAACAAAACAGGGCCATTACCAAGAGGAAGATGACACGGAAATGCCTTAGCATAACAGGAAGACAAGTTGATACGGGTCCAAACAGGCTAATTATTTCTTTTCAATATATGGCCTGCTGTATCAGGAAACACTATTCCATATCCTACTGAGCTCACAAGGACCTAGCTATCTACCTGCAGAATGTCAGCGAGCTTTAGGCTGAATCCAAGCAGCATCAGTACATTTTATTTACCAGCCTCCAGTAGCACCTTCCTCTGTAATACATAGAGTTCTAAATGCCTAGAACACCTCTAGCAAGCTTCAAATAAGTTCTGCACGGCGATTCCCGATTGATACAGTTGTCATTTGAAAAGTGGCATTTCCCCAGCATACAGTTGCCTACTGACCTGATGTTCAGCCATGACAGCATGGGAGTTGTACCTCCACCGACAATCCACACGGTGAAAAAGACGATGAGGAGAGTTGTTGAGAACATCATTTGATGTGAGTAGGTAGCAGTATCTCGTATAGCCAGAGCAAATGCCATGGCTCCCCTGAGACCTATGCGAAAGAATGAAATAGCAGGGCTTCAGAAGTGCACCCGTGCTTATTCATGACAGCATCTTTCTTTGCTCCCTCCCTGCCACGCAGGCACAAAGTGACAGGAAGAAAGCACTGGGCTCCAGCGAGTTTTCATTCCTGCAGTTTCCCTGATAAATTATGCCTTGGGATGATTTAGAATATAGTTTGCTCTCATAGTTTTCTGTAACTTAGAAAATCCACTAGTGCCAAGAAAAGGTGTAAATATTTCCAGAAACTAACTGGAAAGAAATGCAGAAACAAACAAATCGTGGACAACAGCAAAATACATTAAGGAGAACAAGCAGCTGCCTGAATCCAAATCAACATGCTTCTCTAGTTGATTCCATAACTGTAGCATAAATTCTTGATATGAAATTTTTATCAGCTGGAAAAATATTTTAGTTAATAATATGCTCAGAGGCAGAATATATCAACCCCCACCATCCCCTGCCCCAAATTATGAAACTCCACTAGCAAGGGCAAGCTGTAGCATCTGCAGACTACTTTAGTAGGGGAATCATAGGATGGTTAAGGTTGGAAGAGACCTCTGGAGGTCACCTGGTCCAACTCCCCTGCTCAAGCATGGCCACACCCAGACAGGTTTTGAATATTGCCAAGGATGGAGACACAACCACCTCTTTGGGCAGCCTGTGCCACTGCTTGGACACAATAAAAAAGTGTTTTCTGATACTCAGAGGGAAGCTCCCGTGTTTCAGTTTGTGCCCATTGCCTCTGGTCCTGTCACTGGGCACCACAAAATCAGCCTGGCTCCCTCTTCTTCACACTTCCTTGTGTAGAGAGGCATCCCTGGCACATCTTGAGGATGCACATGTTTATGCACGCAGACTCCATGATTTGCTTTAAATTACAAACTTAAACAGTTATCTGTGTGACAGAAATCGTGAAGCAGTTTAAGTCAAATACCTTGCTTTCTCCAGCTAAGTGGGAGAAGGCAGCCATCAGCACACCTCGATTTTCTCAGCAGGTATCTGTTTCTGCACAATGTGTACATCATCTCAGCTAGAAATAATCTGCTGAAAGAGATACATCCCAATTCCCCCATCCCCTTCAGAAGCACTTCAAATGAAAGTACTCTATTCCCACCAAGAGGTATCTGCTTGCTGCCAGCAGCTGGCATTTCAAGATGTCACTCTTCCGAGACATGACAGACTTTCTGTAAAGGTTGAAAGATACATGACGGCACACTGCAACAACCATTAAGTCATATATTTAGAATGCATGGATGTGGATTTTAAAAGCAGAAGGTAGTACTACAAATTTCTTACAAGTTAAAAATAAGATTTTTTTCCCTTACTGAACATTTTTGCTTTTACCTGAAAACATCATCATGTGCTGAAAGTTCCAGCTGATCTTATGCCTTCTGCCCAGATTCAACAAGAAGGAGAGAGGGTAGATGTGTGCAGCTCTGCCCAGAAAGATTGCAATCTGTTCAGAGCTGTGGGTTAAGGATTTCACTTTTCTGAGGTATGCACTCCTGGGTAGCCATCTCTAACACGAAGCTTCTGTTTTAGTCAGAGGTTTATGTCATGATATCAAGTGTTCTTGTTATTCTGTCTATATAAAACAGACTTTCACCAACTATGTGCATACAGAACTCATTGCACGGAATGCAAATTTTAACTAATATAACCAGTTTTTTAATGCACAGTGAAATTATACCTAATATTAAAATTAACAGTTGTACAAATGAAGATCTTACTTTAAAAATTCACACTTGAAACAACTATCACCACCACCATTCGATTATGTGTTTCAAACCAACTGAAATGCAGTCCTATGTACAGAAGGAAAACCAACATCAGACTAGCAATTGGCCACTCCATTACAGCTCCTGCAGAGGCAAAAATCTCCTACTGGCTGGCAAGCACTTAAGAGCATAGAGTTACTAAGATGATAAATCCGAAAACTACTTGTCAGCACCAGAATGAAGTTCAATGTGAGTAGTAAAAGAGTATTGCAGAAATTCATGACAGTAGATGGTAAGCTTCTTCCCTCCCTTACTGTGTTGTAAGACAGCCAGCAGTCCCAGTGAAGATGCAGAAAGCTGAATGCACGCTCCATTGTCTAAGGAACACTTTGGGAGAAACTAGAGTCATGTGCTGAAATCCTATGAAACGCCAACACAGCTAGAAGCCCACCAAACACTGACCATTTGCTGCTGGGATAACAACATTAGAAGAATGAAACAGCTCTTGTGGAAAAGAAATAAAACTATGCAAGAGCTCTAGACACCACTGGGTTGTTGCCATAGCTAAAGTAGAGCAATACTCTCTGCAGGAAATTATGTCTCTAGGAAAATAAGATTTTGATTATTATTTTGTACAAAAAGCTTCATGTAGTTGTTCCAAACAATTTTTATAGCAGTCCTTTTGAGGATTTCTGCAGAAATCAGAAGCCATCATGACAGACATATGTAGCAATAATGGCTAGGATGTCAGTGACACTGAGGCTTTAGCTCTGCCTTTGCAGTCCAACCTTTCTCTTTCAACAGCTGATGATGCTGTTTCACCTCTGCAAGGTGTTAATTCCATGGGGACAGTAGTTGTTGAGGCAAAGTGTGGGTGCTACTACCAGCTGCCCTCCACACAAAAGTAGAAAAATTCTCAAGAGGCAACAGAGGGTAAGTGCAGTGGTAGAAAAAATGTGGAAAATGTAACAAAAAAGTAGGTGGGTAGGAAAAGAAAGGAACAAAATCAGTACTGAAAACAAACCCAAGAGAGACAGCATAACCCGAGAGAGGACAGAAGGCCACAGCAAAGATGAAAAACTGCAATGCTTAGTATACCAGATGCAACTATTCTGTTCATGACTTTATCCAATGGCTGCAGGGCTCTGGAGCATTTTTTAGGTCAGAAGAACAGACACGAGGCGACACAGGAGAAAAATCTATTACTGTTTCAGAAAAAAGTAAATGGCCAAAGGAAAATAAAGACAAATGTGATAATCCCTAGAAGGAGTACAGAAGTGAGAGAAAACAGTAGAAAAGAGGAAATGAAAGAAGTATGTTCTGGATTAGGCCCTGGGTTTTACCTCCACTGCCGACAGCCTTATTCCTGCAGCAGGCAGAGAGAAATCAGGACTGGAATACCAGTTCCCATTGCTTACCGCACACTTTTAATTGCTCTGAATTTTCAAGCAGCCAGAAATATAGTGAAGAAATAGTTACACAAACCATTTGAACCAGGGTGGGGTGCAGAGAGGAATCTAGTGATTCCCAGTTTACATGAGTGTGACTACTACAAAAGCACTAAGTTTTGGGGAATTCAAAAGCCAGGTACCAAATCTGCCAGGGACAAAGGGAACTGCACACCCACCTCTGACAGCAGCACCTTTCAGCAGTGTGTAGCCTTCATGCCAGGGTCTGCACCACAGCTCAGTTCCTTCCTCCTCCATCATCCAAGATCCTGACCTCTACCTTCCAGGCATTGCTCAAAAATAATCTGTTCACCTGCAGTCCTTTTTATTTACTTGAAGTTTGTTTGCTTTCTTCAAGGAACCATTGGAAGTGAAGAGAAAAATTAATCCTTCTCTAGGCCTCCAAAGTTCAAATACCAGAGCAACATGAGCACTGCTGGGTATCAATAGCCAAGTCACACAGTAAAGCACATTCATTTATCTATCTTCTGTAATTATATAACTTCTAGCAGTTGCTCAGGTACAAAGCCAACAACCGTGTGGCATAGATGCCTTAAGGCTTTGATGTAATGGGTAACCAAAGATTGTTCTCAAAATTATTGTGCCTGCAAGACACCAGGGAAACTGAAGTCAGCCATCATCCTCTGTTTGGTAAAGCCAACACACACCACAAGTTTTCAGGCACATGAGATAACAGATAAACCTCACACAAAGCAAAAAAGGATACAAAAGCTCCAATGATGAAGACTGGGCTGAATATGTGTTTCTGGAAAGTAAACAGTGCCAAACCCATATAAGAAAATATGAAGTTCTCAGCCAGGAAGTGCAATACCTCAAAGAGCTAGGGGGAAACAACCAGTCATGTGTTAAAGGCCAAGCAATAAAGATGCTGTTCAAAAACAATAGTAGATGGACTACTACAGCAATACACCGTATAAAAGGTGAAAGACAGTCTTGCCTGCTTAGTGCGACTTCTTGATTCAACCGACAAGTTATTGTATGTGTAATGTGCCTGGGTGATTCCACAGAAGAGGACAGCCACCACACCTGTGAAGAGAATCACATGTAAAAATCAGCCTGGTTACTGTGTGAGCACAACACATTTTTCCTTCCCAAGTTCTGTTTAATCTCTACATCATCCCTAAACTTGAGATTTTTATGAACCTTATTTTCAAGTGAGTTATATTCCAGGTTGGGGAAGCAGTGTTTGAAGCAAAACATTGCTCTAAAAGCCTTTGTTACACAGTGAGCTGCGCCTTCAATGACATTGTAAAGAATATAAAAAAAAGCTTTAAATACCAACATCATGTTTTTCATAGGAAGGTTTCAATACGAAAGTGGAAAAAAATGGCTGCTAAGCCGGACAGGACTTGTGTCTCCGTGCGTTTGAATCCCAGCAACTCACCAGTAAATCCACAAGCTTCTGCAAGCAAGAAAGTGCTCCAGGACATCAGGAAGAAGAGAGCCGTTTCCAGCAGGGGGAAGCAGTGCAACTTGGTAAACTTCGTCACGTTAAGTCATTTGTTAAGGGATCAAAAAAATAAACACTTTGGCTTCCCTATAACTAGTATTTACAAAAAACACTTTTATGCGCCAACAAGTAATGCTAGTTGGAAAACAAAACACTTTTAGTGCTGAAAAACGTCGATTCCATCACATCAAGACAAACTTCAGAATCAAGGCACCCCTTGCAGTAGTCAGTTTTGGATATTTTTGCTGCATATCCGTGGCATGACTGTGGCTGCACCTGTTTGAGATAATATCTTACTCCATGCCACGTTTCCCTGCAAAGTGCTGGCAGGGAAGGGACCTATACCTGGCGTTCCTTTTAGATTTTAGAAATCTAAATCCTTTTAGATTGTGTCTTGGGGGGGGGAGGGTTGTGTTTGCTTTGTGTTTGGTGTGTTGTCCACATCCCCCTCCCAAATAAAGATCCCCCCCAGTCTTTAAATAAAGCATAAAGTACGTTCAGAAGCATTTAATTCACAGGGCTGTTCTGGACTGCAGCAACCCTAAGATGAAGTAGATTTATCAGAAATTTTCTGCTCAGATTTGTTGACACATCTTTTTCAGCAAGCGTGGCTACTTCCATATTTTTGGGCCAAAACAGAAATCATGCCTACAACAAAATATATTTCCCCTCCTTGTGTTGATGTGCTTTAGAGTATAAGTCAACTCAGAGTTGCTTAGTCTTTCACTGGGAATAAAAAGCAAGTTCATCTTCCAGGAGAGCAAAACTTGAGGAACATCAAACGAACACTGAATTAACAGTTCATGCAGCTACTGAAGTAGTGGAACAGATTTCAGTAGCGTTAAATATAGCTCTTCATGTACTACAAAAGAGTTGTTCACATATTCATAGAATTTTTTGGCATTTTTTTTCCTCATCACTACTCTGGCATCATGTAAACACTGAACAGTGCACTGTACCTGAGGTGCAGACAGCTATGCGCAACTCTGCAAGCAGACACAGAAAAAAACCACGTGCTAACAGGGGTGGTAGGGAGATCCCTGGTCTTTCTGAAAGCTGACAACAAGCACAGTCGTCTCTGAAATCCAAGTGGAAGGTCAGCAAGAGCACAGCAAGGAGACTTGGAACAGTAAGATGGTAGCACTCTCCCTCGCTCACACAAAGGCGATCGGTACCTCAATGGACACATCAAGGCTGCACCATCATCCACCACTGCTCCCCATGCGTAACACAGCTCCATCCTGGGCTCTCTGCAGCACTGCACTTTCTAAAGCTAATGGCAGCACTGCTGCTTGAGAAGCCCTGGCTCAATACAGGATAAAGATGTTAAAAGCAATGAGCAGCACTGCTTTTCACAAGGACCTGGAAGGTCCGGGGCTCACAGCGCTCCTGACTGCCTCCTGCAAGCAGCAGTCACGTAGCCCAGAAGACTCTGTGGGAACAGACTCCTGTGGGTATTATCGCAGAATACGGCATTGACAACAAGCCGCAAGTGATTAACACCAGAGGCAAACAGCTGGCAGCCTGTCAATGGGAGCCTGGTTAGGATGAAGCAATCCTGAGGCCGGCCACCCACTCCCCACCCACACCTACTTCTTGCTGGCATTCTCTGCCAGCTTGGAGGAGGGCAAGGGCTCCGAAACACACACTTCAGCTGCAACCTTGCTTTGTCAGAAGGTTGCCCTCCAAACAAAAACCCAAACTATCATAAAAAAAAAAATTATTCTCCATGACAGATGGCATTACTCCAAATACAAAACCCAGCATTTTTTTTTAAAAGGTTAATTCTCCACACAGTCACTTCTCCACATAAATCATCCCTCTAGAACTTTTGAGGATGTACTGTTACACACAGCTAATTCTGCCTCCCCGCCCCCAACCAGACCTATTTTCGAAGAACTTGCTTCTGAAGCAGCAACATCCACCGTGGGAACAATTAGAACCCCTCTTCCCACAGAGAGCTCGGAGAATCCCACCACAAGTTTATCCCAGTGCCTGGCTCTGAAGGCATTCATGGACGCTTAGGAAACCGGACAGCCACAGTCACTCCATGGGAGAGGGAGAGGTTGAACCTTGTTCTCCTGAAGTTAGGCAGGGACCCTTGTCAGAAATAATTCCTCATTTACAGCCTTTTCTGGCAGCTCTGTGAATCAAATTATTTGTTCTTCTTGCTCTTATTATAAGTAATCATATCAAAACATTTTTTTAAATCTGAAATGAAAACCTGTGCTCATCATTTTGGAGGAAGATGAAGGTGAGAGAAAGGTAAGGAAAAAAAGTTTTATTATTTCATACAATAGACAAAATTGAAGTGTTAATTCGAATTAAGTTATTATTTCTGTTTTCTTCACTTTCTCTCTTTATTCCTTAAACACGACCTCCTGCTTTGCTTCATTTCAACCAGGCAGATTCTGCAATTTAGAAAGAAAATACAAAGTGGTACAATACCTTAACCATTATAAAAATAACCACAGATAGTGAGGTCAAGACAGCTTGCTGAAAGCCAGAACAAGTCCTTGTATATTACCTGCATCATATCTGGAAACTAAGTATTCTGTCTATTTTCAAAGGACAATGCATGACTGCATGAAACCACTCATTCATACAGGGGTACGGTTAGAGGTACTTCACAGCCACAGGAATAAGAGTCTATTAACTTAATTAATTACTTAAGTTATGTGGTCTTGTCAGCTATGAAGAGTAAAACGCAAGCTTACACTTTGCTTCTACACTATTGCATAATGTTAAGTATTTTCCCAAAAGAAAATAGTTAAAATTGTATAATTGAGCAACAATTTCAGGATTTTTTTGTTTTGTTGTTTTCTTAAAAAAAAAAAAAAAACCCACAACAAAAAAAAACAAATTCGGAGGCTGCCTTCTGAACAATCTCCCCCCTCCCAGCCTTGTAGCACCCTCCTGAGCACAAACATTAGAAACAGAGAGAACCAATTGCCGTTTCAGAAGCATGATTTCACAAAATGGATCTGAAGGTATTTCAGCTGTAATTAGTGGCCAACCAGCAAGCCAAAAAAACCCACAGCAACAGCATTTGATCAGCTAGAGCTAAGGATGGCTGGCAGCCTAAAAGCCAGATGAAGAATCATGGTCCTGAGCCACATGGACTGTAGAACCATGGAACTGGAAGACTGAATGTTAAATCATCAACAGCACATCTTCCCCCTTATACATGGAGCGTTTTCATGGGGCACACAGATATCAGACAAATCTGCACAGTGTATATATAACAAGACACAGCAGAGACATTCTTATTTAAGACGAAGAGTCACAGGTTCATAATTATTGAATGAAATATCACATTTTACCCCTTTTAGGTCAGTTTTCAAAAGTCCAGGCAGATCAAAGCAATCTGAAATGTGTACGAATATGATTATACCAGTCTGTCTAAAAGCAAAGAATTTGAATTTTTTCCTGAAGAAGCACCACAATTTCTGGAGCATGTCAGGCTCAAGTTCTACTGCCTAAGCCTAAACCAAAACCCACACAGATCACCTGGTGAGCGCCTCAGAGCTCTAACCAAAACGCAACAATAAGCTTCAGGAAAGCAGGACAGGCCATGCAAAGTACATCATGTTATGATGTTAAACGTGGTACAGGTACAGTCTTATCCAAGACAGACGACATCAGATTTCCAGCAGAAAGGTTAAATGCAGGACTCTCAGAAAGAACTCCATGGGGTCAGAAATAGCTACTAATGATTTTGCTGACGATAGAATCAAACATCGGTTATCATAAGGGATGTCTGTCAAGCCTAATAAAAAAAAAAAAAACAAACACCTGTTTTTTTGATTTACGAAAAAGAAACTGAACACTAGGACGCGCCCACTTAGGGCCTCGCCTTGATTTGCAGCATGCAGCAATGTCACTAAAACTTCTAGTGTGGCTACAGTTATATCGGAAAAAGGTGATTTCTGTGGGTACCTATATGCCTTTCTATAGGCAAAGGTTACATGAATACTGATCGCACCTTCACACTCATTAAAACAAGCTAGAGTCAATTTTGCTATAGTTGGAAACAGGAGAGCCCTGTTAATACCTGAATGTGGCACCTAGCCTGGAAGAGCTAAACGTGAGAAAGGATATCAGAGCTGTCACAACCCCTGTCACTGCTCCCATCATGAAAGAACCACTGAATATTCCCAGAAAAACACCAACCGACTTGAAAAATGCTGCTGCATCAAAAGCATGGGTGTTTTCACCTGTTGGCTGGTAGGCAACTATAGATCTAGAAAGAGAGTAACACAATGAGAAGTTAGAAGTGGCATCAGAAAAGTGTTATTCCATAACAGCAACACCTGAACAGCAGAAGAGACAATCCCATACTGAAGGCAAATTTGCCCTTCTAATGTATGCATGCAGAGGGATCTTGGCAAATGTTTGCAATGTTTATTAATTCAGTTCAAGACAGTCCCCTTAAATTCAAAATAACATTTCTCTGAAAAAGCATTTATTTTAGACAAATACCAAAAACAATTAAGTAATTTCAGAGAAGAAATTCGGGTAGTTACTTACGAAGATAATACAATGGCAACAGCATCATTCAACACGCTTTCCCCAAACAGAAGGGCATAGAGATCAACATCAGCGTGCAGCTCATTAAATATTGCTAGCACGGTAACTACAGAAAGAAAAGAGAAAACCACGCTGGCTGATGTTCCAGTCACCCTAAAGCAATAAAACCCAGGAATTGAAGTACAGGATCAAAATGAAACTGGAAAACAGGGTAGTGATGTTTATCTACAGGCAAGCAATTCCACCATCAGTTTGAGGTAGCTCCATCAGGAGGTGGCTCTGTTGTTCTCTCTTCTGCACAGTGTTTATAGGAAAGCCCCCATGATCAAAGGGCATGGGGCAGACAAAGCACTCCTACCAAAGCCCGGATATTTTCTGCAGAACGTGTTCCGTGTAAGAAAATCCACAAAACTTTGTACAGATCTTGCTACTTTTAAAGGCTGTATGGATTGTTGACATATCTTTATTATTCCAGCCATTGTAAAATAATGCTAATAATCCTAAGTGTTCATTATGCATGCGTTTGCACAGAACTTGAAAAGGGCAAGGCTGCTAAAAATTTACAACCATCCTTTCAAGAAACTTCAGTCTGAAATGAAAGACCATGATCTTGAAGATGTTTCCATGTATGAGCTTCAAAAATCACATGGTGATTTTTTGCATAAATTGTGCAACCACCAGCTGTTCAGAGCTCAACTCAATCACAGGAGCTACTTCCCATTTTCACGCAAATCACCACCCAGGGCCTCAAATAAGCTGTTTTAAATGTCAAGCTTCATACTTCACCACTCCTGCCCCCAGGCCCTGACACACACCAGCTCTCCAGACTGACCTGTCAAGCACAAACATGTGTATGAGCCTGCTGGACTTTGAAGGATAACTAGATTATTTTAGCAAAAGCTCGAATTACTTTGCCAGAAGACTATTCTTCTGCTTGAACTGGTAAAGCATGAAGTTAATTTGAAGGAGAAGAAAAAAGTTCCCCACACCTAAAGATCCTAAAAGCCTCAAATATTGCTCTAAAATTATCCAATGATCCAAGCAATGTAGCTAAAGAAGAAGTCCTGCTACCCAGACAATGTAACAATTTCATCTATTTCCACATATAAGCTTGATGCACACTAAACAAAAACCTACTGGGAAAAAAAAAAAAATCTTTAAAGTATCTGAACAGGAAAGTTACAGTTTTCCCCAAACATAGTATTACGCCATATCAGTCCCGCACCAAACTGGCAGAGAACAGCTTTCACAACACCCAGAAGGTGCATGCATTTCAGAGAAGTGGATCAGAGATACTAGCATAACATAACTGAAAATAAAAGTGCTGTTAATATCTTTGTGCTACGCAGCCAACAATCCTAGCAGTAGGATTACTTTGGAAGGTTATTAAAAAATTTTCAGCAAGCTACCTGGATCAGTGGCAGATATTATCGCTCCAAAGAGGATGCAGTCTGTATAATAGAATTTATCAGAGAGCTGACCCACCAACTTCATTAGTTTCACAACCCCGTACATGAGATTCCTGAAGAGAAAGAGGATAAAACAGCCCAAGTCAAACAAGCTGGAGCATTTCAGGCAGGCAAAGGAAAAGCACAAGCAACAATATTTCAGGCAGGCTTGGTTATGCTACAGCTCTGTGGGACACCGCCACATTTTAGCACTAAGCTCTCAAATTCATTTTCCTCTTTTCTCTATGAACTGGGTGAAGTGATATATGATCCAGAACATATCATTTAAAACAAGTGGAGCATGAAATCTGTCCACACAACTAGTATGCAGAATCCACAGGTTTCCTTTGGTAGAAAAAGGAAGCATTTTCCTGCTCAAAATTCCCCTCAGTATTGCTTCTCACAACACAGTACATAGACCAAAAGCACTGAACTAAGAATAGCCTCCAAGTATTTCTCTGTAGTGAAATTCTTTGAGAGACTTAACAAGGTCACCTACACAATTCAGGATTTCTGTGTTTCAGAATATCCATACACAGGAACATTCACAGCACGAGAGATTGTTTGGAAGGTAACCAACTTGATTAGTTATCTTGAACTAAATGTGTGTGTACATACACACATAAAATTATATATATACACATACACAGAAAGAGAGACTGTGTGCACGCATGCGGGCACGGAAAGGGACATATCTAAAAGCTTGACAGCTAAAATTCTATTACAAGTAGTGTCCACAATTCAAGTTAAACTCAATTCCAGTAAAAGCCTAACAAGGCTTTGTTTTGGACTGGATCATTATTACATCAAAAACTCAACGCCACTCTTTAGTACTATGGACTTGCCAAGTGACACAAACTTGACAATATCATTTCAAGGGACAGTTTTGTTTAGAAGTGGAATAAATCTCAGCAAAAGTTACATTTGCATTTTTCCTGGAGGATACACAAATAAAATCCTCAGACAAACCTAACAAAATTAAGGCAACCTAGAAGGCTCATCATACACTTTATCAGCTTAAACTTTAGTATAGAAAGGAACTGATACCACAGAGTTCACTTACCCAATAATAAAACAAGAAACTGCTGTTCCTAAAAAGGCGTAAGCCAAAATGGACCCCAAATTTCTGAAAAAGTGTCTCTGCATAGAAGAAAGAGGTTTATAGACTTGTTTAAAGTAAGTTATAGCACCTGTTCAGAAACATACAGTGCACTACTACACTTGCATTAACACACAGAAACACCCCTCCATTCCAGATAAAGGCTTCAATTACTGCAATGTAAATTCTGCCTAACCTCAATAAATTGAATAAACCAAATCTGAACCATGTATTAAATCCTTCATGGAGCTTACTGACAGTAAGCTTTCCAGACAGATGTATTCATTAGGGATGCAAGAGTTAGCTGCAAAACTAAAATCCAGCATCAATTCATGGCATCTTCAAGCAAGAGCAGAATCCGGGCCCTTCTGCCATTTGGCGTCTGGCAAATCCCCCGTGGGATTCAGGTTTGGGTCTACTTCTCAGCATAATTTACTGCATTTTGAATATGTGAGAAGGACCAAAACAATTCATAGCAGGGCATCTTTTACTTTAAATGGAATTGGCATTAACCTCTGGCAACATTCAAAGGAAAACAAATCAGCAAGATTAAATAGAGATTAATGTGTTTATAGTAAAACATACAAGTATTTTCTCTTAAAACAATATGACCTAACCGTCCTAACTGGAGGAAATCAGATTATTTTTTTTCCCTACTGCCATAAAAAAAAAAAGTTCGAAATGGAGACTGTACACTTGAACAAATTAGCAGTGCCACACTGGGGGGGGGAGGGGGGTGGAAAGGTTTTTTTCCTCAGAAAATTATTACACTTACTTTCTTCAGGCTATAACCAGCATGAAAAATAATAGGAGGCAACAGAATGTTGAAAAAAACTTCTGGGTCAAATGTTACCTAAAAAATAAAATAGGAAAATTCAATTAGAAACAGACATACACAATTTGTTAGGTCTTTCTCCTCTTTCCTTTTCTGACAAGTACTATTTTTTCTTGTTGAAATAGCAAACAGCTGGCTAAGCAGACCCTCCAAAATACTGGCCAGCTCTACACACATACAGCAGCAAAAAGCTGCAGCTCTTCATGGTAAACAGCATCTAGAAAAACAGACGTTACTTCAAAGATAGTCTTGCAACAGTCCTAAATGCAGTCCTCCTATTGAAATTCAAAAAAATTCTAACAGAAATTACATTGGAGAATATAACTCTTCTTGTGGTACAGGGTATTAATGTATTTGCAGATGAAATGCTATTTAAGCTTATGGTTTTTTGCAAGTCAAGCCCCTGCACAGCTGTTATAAGCCAATCAAGACAGAGACAAGACTGGTTTTTGGGAAATGGGATCATCCATCACTTCCACATATTTCAGTGGAAGCTCCGGATATCCATGAAAGACTACACTAGCATAAGGAACAAAACCTGACATTTAAAACCCAAGCAGAAGACCTGCACACATGGGAGACCAACTAGATTCTCTTCACCTCCTGTCTAAGCACAGGTCAGAGGACGAAGCGTGCCCTCCCAGAATAGTTTTCATTTCAGCTAACTTCAGATGTCTACAGCAGACAGGTAGATACAAACAGCCACCTAAGCTCTCCTCATAGTCAGCAGAAAGAAGCATTTTTAGGTTACCAGCCTAAAGTCTCAATCCTATACTTCAAAGTCCAGCTTTGATACACACAAAAGGTGGTAAATTCCTGCCACTGAATAAGAATCCAAACAGCAGATCTGAGCACCAGTCGATAGATGAATTTCACTTCCAATACCAGACTGTCATTTGGTGGATTATAGGAATGTAAACAGTAAGTATTTCCTGACAACAAACAGATTAAGAAACCCTAGGGGGAAAAACAAAACAAAACCCAAACGGTAAGAAACAATCACTTTTCACCAAGAAATGATCATTTTTCCTTATATTGTATTACACAAGCCAGCATCAGGCTTTTTTTGTTCAGCTGGTCTTTGTGAATTCTAAAGATATTAGAAATGTACATTAAGTCTTAAAGCAGCAATCAAGGGCTTTGGGAAAGAACTACACACATGCAACAGAGCACAGTTTCGCTGGCAGCAATACAATACAGAAGGTGCTTTTGAATTAAGCATTAACGTGCTGTTGCTATCACGAACACAGACACTTGATGCTACCAAACATTAAATGGAACGGAGAGGGGAGGAGGAGGGGAAGCAGAGATAAAGGCGAAGCACTCAGCCAGGCACAGGCAATGGTCTGCCCTCACCTTCCGCAACATGTCGTTTTGCTCCACGTTGTGGATCTTCCCAGGGCTGATTTCCCCTTTGAGCGTATATTCAAAGAACTTCCCGCTGACGTTGACCAGCAGGGTTGTGAACGGCCTGTCCTCCTGCGAGCAGCTGAACGGCTTGTCATGGCCGCTGGTGGAGGGGGTCCCGTATCTCAAGATCACCCCGACTATGAGTCCTGCAAGAGAGAAAAATCCCTGAGGCTGATTTGCTACTCCCGTACCCAACTTTCTAGTTTAAGGCATAACACATGAACCTCACCAGTGTACGTGCATCTTCCACATTTTGCTACCGGTTTCCTGCAAAGGAAGCGAGGCCCCGAGCACATTAAAACTCCCAGTATACCTGTAAAGTCTGGTGTCTGCCTGAAGTGACAAACAAAATACTCTGGTTTGTGTCTTTTCTTCCTCACCCTCATTCACACATCCAAGGCGCAAACCCTGAGTTGCACTAGAGGCTAAACACTATGACACATAAAATACATTTCACCTGCGTAAGGACAGAAGTGAGTAGACACACCATTGTCAGCAAATAACTATGGCTGCAAACCTGTGACCATAACTGAGCTGAAAGAGTGGTGTTTCCTTTAATATTTTAGGGCTAGAGCAAGGATGCAGCTCCTCTGCCTGGCAATTCTAAGCAAGCAAACAGTGCTTGTTGCACAATCTCCTTCGTACTCTGCAAACTTTGCAACTAAAATTCGTATGACATGAACAAAGAAGGCAGCTACATGCCTTTTGCAAGCATTTTCACATTTCACAAAACCAAAAGCAAAGGTAAAAATGTACAATCGTAAGAGACCTGAGATTCAGGAATACAAGAAGAATTACTCAGCCAGTCCAGATAAAATCCAACCAGAAAACGCTAAAAGGGATGCATCAAACACAGTGACAAAAAATAATTTGTAACCTAATGGAAGGGCCATGTCAGGAGACTGGAGCAGCACAACTGAGCACCGTTCCTTCTACAATGCACTAAGAAAAGAACAAGGCTTCAGTTCTGTGGAGAGAACGTGTAAGAACAGTCACAGTGGTTTCAGTCTGGTAAGTAAACAAATTGATGCCCCACTTACTGAAGGCTCCCCTGTCGCCTTAGGATGATCTGCGATTTAATCCTCGTTCCAGACAACTGCAAGATGAAGATGGATGTTTGACCCTTTGTTGACAAGTCAGTAGTCAATGCTGGTTTTGCTCCCTGTGACCCTCACTCTGCATCCACAGATCCGTTTCCCCAGACGGTAAATGAAGTTGACAGGTCATAACCAGAGAATAAATGAGGTACAACAAAGAAAAAAAATCCTATCACACACCACAAAAAAACCCCAAAAAACAAAAACCCAAACAAACAAAACAGACTTCTCTTTATGGCATAGTGCAAAGACTAACCGAACTGTACCCGAAAAAAGCCAACCAAAAGAACACATCTCTTTCTCCAAGTTCAGAGTGGAAAAATAGTTTTAATGCAAGAGAAGGTACAGCAGGTAGTAGCTGTGACACTGCTGGGCAGCTCATCTTCAGCCCTGTTTCTCTACAGAGAACATAGGAGCAACAAGATAATTAAAAAGTAACTGGAAGATGTATTTTATTTAGGAAAGAGAACTACATACTTGAGGAGAACAGAGGGGAACAAAACCCCTCAGCAAGATAAATCTCCTTAGTGAAATTTCAAATGCTGACAATTTAAATGCAGAGGTTTATACAAGCATGCTCCTAACGGCCCCGGAGCATTTTACAGCTACGTGTGCCAGATGCAGCAGAAATGCAGCTCTGCACAAAGTGACTGATTAGGGCCAGTCACCTCCAAGCCACTTGCACCACCAGCTATGGTTAGAGACATCTTCCCCAACCCAGCCAGGCAAGCAGCCAAAGCTTTCTGCTGCCCTCACCCCCCTCACACCTAGGAATAGCAAGGCTCACAGAACAGATCAGGAAGACTGTCAGTGTTAAAAAACCTGATCTAACCAGCATCAGCCAGAAACCCTGTAGTAAACCAGAAACCAGACTAAAACTGAACAGATGAGCTTATACATAGCAGTGGCACAACGCCAGATCTACACTGCTACTAAGCTGAGAACAGAGAGGGGGACACGACAGACGTAATAGCTTCTTAGGCTCAGGGACTGCCCTTGGCGAATGCGTCGCAAAAGCAGATGGAAACCCCCATTGCTATTGCGTTAGCAAGAGGCACTGGAGAGCAGGATGAGATTGCGTTATACAGCTGGATATAATCCACTCACACATTTTCCCCCTGTAATGAAATAACCCGTTATTTTAAAACAAGCTTTGAGGATATGCCAATTATATCCATAACCGGTACATAGTGCTTGAGGCAAAGCATCCTTTAACCCTCAGTGTCCCACGGCCCAACTAACACAGCTACAGGGAAACACCCTGCTTTCATACACCTTCTGCTGATAAAATCCAAAACTGGACGCCCTTTGCACTGAGTACCACACGGTTTAGGAACATCTAATCCTTTCTGCCAGGCTGGAATTAGATGACCTGACCAGGGTGGCCAGTGTCAAGACAAGAAGCCAACAGAAGCAGTCAAGCAGCTAAAGCTACCATGGCTCAGTCATTAAAAGAAATAGGTAAGAAAACAGAAGTGGCCCAAGGAGGCCACATAAATTCCATCGCCAGCTTCACGAGCAAAAAATACTAGGCTTCTGGTAGTTCAAAAGGTGAGTTAGAAGAAAGTTCCCCGACCTCACAGAAGTGCAGGCATACTGCTATATTTGTCATACAGTGCCAAAATAATAGGGTTTGAACATTGAAGTGCAGTGCGTCAGCTGGACACATTTGACAGACATGAGCTGCAGAAATCCTGACTTAATGCTTTTCCAAAAAAAAATTTAAAGTCTTTATGGAAAACCGTATGCAAGTATTTTCAGTTTCCCAATGAACATCAAGTCTTTCACACACTAAAAAGTTACTGAACTTGTTAGATGATTTCTACATCCCATCTCACCTGATAAAGAAACTTTAACAAAGTTTATATATTTAGTCAGCCCTCGAGGTCCCAAAAAACCCAAGCCCTTTTTAGGCAGACCAGACAGCCTGATTTACAGCTTCAGAAAGGGTGCCCCTCTAAGCTGCCTGCCATTAGGCGTTACACGGAAGGCCAGGGCAGTCTCTGTAAGTTCTCTCTGGATACTTGATTTCAACCATTTCCAAAACGTCAGAGGTGCAGCTGCAGAACAAAAACAGAAGAGACCTGGAATTGCTCAATGGACAAACCTAGTGGGATACATGAGACTTACTTCTAGGCTGTTAACACAAGCATAAATTCAGTATAGCTCTGATGCTTATTTGGAAGCAAGGGGAGGGATGGATGCTGGAGGCTAGGAACGGATACCGAAGAATCAGTACACAAACTTCATGTTACTCCTGCACCACAGGGTCTCACTGAAGAGCTTATGTAGAACCTGGATCAACAGAGCAATATTTATCTGACCGCTTAAGAACATTATAACTCTTAAAACGAGAAGCCTCTAGGGCCACTAATCCAGCACTGTCTTTTACCGCAAGACTGTCACAAAAGAAAAAAAGCTAGAAATGGGCTACAAATGCTTCAAAATTTGAGAAGAGCCTTACTTTCAAAGTTTTGGTTTGTGGTAACTGTTTGAGCAGTGATGTAGATTTGCCCTTGCAAGACTCAGGAAGTATAATCTCAAAAATTAATACTTAATGCCCTGCGTGCATGACTTGCATTCTCACTTTTAACAGAGCAAGCATTTATACCGGTATCTTACCTGTCCAATGCTGATCACACAGCTGGTACACAAAGAACATCTTACTGGAAATGAAGTGTTAAAAAGCTGGGAATATTTTTTCCTTTTTAAAACAAATCACTGCAGATATTAAAAAAACATTGACGTTGGCTATGTCTGAAGTCTAATCTCACAATACACCATTTTAAATGGCATATTTACTTTTGGTTTTGTTTGAGCACAGAAATCACTGAAGTGAGAATATGAATTCAGGTAGGCACAAGCAATTGTGAGTGCCTGTTCCTGGCCAGAGCCGTCCTCTGCGTGGTTTCCAGCCCAGCTCTCTGCTGGAGAACCAGCCCTGAGGCTGCAGGGAGCTTCAGCAGGCTGCAGGAACCAGAGGCGTTTGCACTCTACGATACAGAGTTCAACCCCTGAATTCAAACTGTGTGTCACTGGGCTGGATCAATCTGTGAACTCAAACCTGCTTAGATACGGTTTCTTTCACACGCTCCTGGTAAAGAGCCAGGCACCAAACGTTGAGGCTCTTTCCCTACACAGGGCAGTTTGTATTAACCACCTTCCAGCCTGAAGGAGACTCCGTGGAGATCTTAGTGCTGTTTGCAGTTACCGGCTGGGGAGACAAGGAAGACAAGGACAGACTCTACTGAAAAGTACACGGTGATTAAGACTAAAAACAACAAACTTGTTGCAACGCAGGGGAAAAACATCAGGTAAGGTTTGGGGTTTTGTTTTTTAAGCAAAGAAGCGGCTAAGCACCAGAACAGGCTGTCTACAAAGGCTGTATAATGTCCACCCTTGCACATAGCCAAAACTCATGTCTGGCCCGGAGCGACGCAAGCTGTGGAGGGCTGCTGTAAGCAGAGGGCTGGACGAGAGTCCCTCCAGAGGTCCTTCCCAGCCCAGGTTATTCTGCCATTCATACTC